CTTGTTTATTTTTTGAAAATCTTTGGATTAAAGAGGAATCATGAGCCTGTTGGCTGGAGTTGAGACCTCTGTTCATAGTAGTGCACAAACAGCACAGCAGTACATGCTGAAACAATATTTGGTGTTCATTATGTAGTTAGGTGTGTACCTTTAATTTCTCTGTGTCTGGAGAGGTCTGCTTTGGACACCTCCAGCTGTTTGCTTCTAGTCTTGCTTGTGTGCTCCACACTCCACTAGTGAGAAATACACAACAAAGGCCTCTGAAAATCCTATCCTTTCTTTTTGGCATCCCTTCTGCTTTGTGCCTTCTGCTCTAAAAGTCAACCTTATTTCTGTTTTAAATGAGCCTTGTAGGATGCCCTGGTGGTCAAAACATTTTAGGTTATTTCAGAGCACTGTATTTATTCTGAGTTTCCAAGATGTAATGAGTTTTGAGTGTCCTTCAAGAGGCTTATTGTCTCCAGCAGTTGTGATACCAAGGAGGCATGCAGGAGCTGCATGTAACTCTGAAGTCAATTCCTAGAAAAGATCACAGGGATGTCATTTGGGAGGACTAGATACAGCAACATGGAAGTTTCAGGGTCTGTTTGTGGAAGGTGGCTTTACCCTGTTGAGGGGCTGCAGATACTCATGCAGATGAGAGATGAAGCTGTTGCATATGAGGGAATGGTGATCACTGAGGATGTCATTGGACTTCTGGTTGAAACACAAGTGACTTGTCATAACCAGACACCTTCAGCCAGATACTTATCTGTCATCCAAGTGATGGTGTTTTCCTGGCATCTTAAAATCACCTGCATGTTGTCTGTGTTGAGGCTGTAGATCCAGACTGTGGGCCACTGCAACTTGGAATAAGTGAAGAACCTGAATTTAGGTAACTACCTCATGTTCTGAGCAAAGGAAGTACCTTAGGGAAAGGACAGTTTTTGGCCAGTGCTATCTCTGCCATTTCTTCTGAGATGGGAACATCTCAAGAGCAAGCTTTGTGTTAGACAGTTTGTCACATTAGAGTGAGCAGTTTTCCTCAGTGGGCATCACAACTGGCTGTTGTGCTATATCCAGATTGTGTCAGGTTTCAAAGATAATGACTTTGCCAAAGGATTCTTGGGGACAATAACCAAGCAGATACCTGTGTTGTCCAAGTTAAGGAGTGCTAAATTAGAAGTACTTCTCTTCTGTGGTGCAGAGCACCATGTGCTTTGTTAGGTGGCTGTAGTCCAATGCTTAGTTATCTTCTATTGTGTTTGGAAGACCATTGTTTCCTATTTGTCTCATAAATTTAACACAGATCCTATTCCTGCCATTTAAGCTTTCCCATCAAAATACAACAGTGACTTCCCCTTCTGAAAAGGAAGGGCTGGCAGCTACACCCTGAAGTTTGAGCATGAATTGTTTACATAACCTTCAATCACAATTTCATAATAAGTCTGAAGACTTTCTTACTAGGGCAGACATTTTACTCAGTTTTTAGCAAAAACCTGGCTGCCATCAAATGCAATATTAAGGCTTCTCAGTCGTTGCAGTGGAAATGGAATTGAAAACTGTACCCTCCAGCTTCCTGATGATATAAATTGCACATTGATCTGGTAACATAAGCAGCATTTTCTGATATTTCAGAGTAGCTGTACCTGTGTCATTCGGGGGTAAAAGCTTAAGAGCTATCTTGGGCTAAATTTATTTCCCAGACAATATTATTAAATCTAAATGAACAAGTTATTGCAGACTCTGGCTTTTTATAACTTCTTGGTACTTAGAGAGTTCCCTTGCCCTTCTCAGCAGTAAAAGCTCTGACATGAGCATTGCAGAAACTGCTTGTTGAATGATATTCTCTATCAAAGTCAGTAATATTTAAACAACTGGAGCTTGCTTTCCAAATGGATGTTATTTGTCAGGAACATGTCTGTTTGAGTTTACTTGGTCTTTTCAGTATGAAAAGCCTGAATATTTAGAGCTTGGAGTTCAGGTCAGTCTGGAAAACTACATTTTTCTTACAAAAAGTTTACAGAGAGAGAGCCCATTTTTATTTTTTTCTGTAGTGGTTATAGCACTACAGGAGAGCTGGTTTATGAAAAGTTTCTCCACCTGCAAGTATGTGTTTTTGAAATAGGATTTAAATAGAAGTTTCTATTGTAATTCTTCAGCAAATTGGATTAAGTGAAAAGTGTGCTTAATAATAATATTGAAATTATTTCTTTTTTAAATTTAAGTTACTAATTTGCATGGAAGTTTAATCGTTTGTAGGGTTTTTTTCATTGTTCTGTCTTGACTTTGTCTTACAGTCTTTGAAATACTTTAATAAGCATGGCAAAAATACTCTGTTGCTGTACTACTTGGTGATCTTTCAAAAACAAAGTTCAGCAAATTAAAAAAAAAATTGGGCCTTAGTTTTGCATGCAGCCAAACAAGCAGTGTTTGAGAACAGTCTGTTTTGTGTAATAATTCTGGTAAAAGCTTGTTCCACTTGAGGACATACCCAGAAAAGTAAGGAAGGAGCAAGCTCTGTGGGTAGGGTTGTACTCAGGCTAATGCCAGAAAACATGTTGAACTTCTTCTCTTAAGAGGGGAAAGGAGTTTCCACAGGATGTCTGCATTTTATAGCAAAAAAAAATTACTTGTAGACGTGCTCTGAAAGGTTGCTTTGATGTAGAAGATTAACCTGAGGACCTCACTGTCAAGATATTAGTGAGGCAAATAGCTTAGTGAGATTATTTGTCACTTGGGAGTTAAGCTTTTTGAGTGGGCCTACTTAAGCTGTTTTTTAAGAATTTGCTCCTTTGTTACATGGCATCACAAGTACTTACATGTACCAAATAGGAGCAGGGAAAGCAAAACCCTGAAACTACCAAGAAGAAAAAAAGCAGAATGCAATTTTGTCAGGGAAAGTTTTCTTTTGTTGCTGGTCTCTCATGGACTGTTAAAATAATTAACCCAAAACAAGTAATACGTGGAAGATTGCTCATTATATTCCCTAAATATCTAGCCTGAAGAAGTCACAGAAAAAAATTGTGTTGGGACTTCTGGGAAAGCATGAGAATATTTTCCTGCATGCTGGGTCTGCCTAATTTTTATTTTTCTGTTTTTTGTTCTTTTTTCTTTCCCCCCCCCCAAAAAAAAATCCATGTTGTTACTAGGCTTGGGTGCTGGCCTAGTCCTTATGAAATAGGGAGATTTTTGCATACTGCTTTACCCTTATTTTCATCACCTGAAACATCAGTATGAGGGAGAAGTCACCAGAGTGTTGGTTGACCCACTAGAACCTCCTGTGATTCCCTCAGTGTTTGTGTTTTGCAGTGCAGGAGAGTAGTCTCATTGAACCTATCATTTTAACAGAAGTCATTAATGTGGATAGTTATGCTCACTTAACATACCCCACCTACATTTTTCTTTTTAAACCGGTTGGAGTTTGTAAACTCACTAAACCCATGTATTGTTTATGATGGCAAATAACTTTAATTTAAATGCTTCAGTACTTTTTCTGACTCTAAAATAAAGGCCTCTGCTGCAATTACAGAATTGAATTTTCCTTCATGTTATAGGAAGTAGGTATCAGAAGACTGAGAGAATATAGTTTGATTTTGGTTTTGCTTGGTAAAATCTGAACTTGTGTACATCACTGAAACTGTGGATTTCTAAGAGGTTCAGTAGTGCCAGAGAATGTCTCTGAAGGGAAGATTTGTATCTGTTGCACTGAGAGTCAGTGTTATGTGGCTTAATAGGAGGCTGAAAAAAACATGTAGGTTCTTACGAGAATTGAAGGCAAAGGTGTGCAATTCCAGAGAATTCCACTGATGTGGAACGTGTTTAGGTGGTCTGTGGTGTGTTAACAGGTGTTTATGTGCATCATTGGGCACCTAAATAGTTGCAAAATTTGTCTCATTTGGCCATTTCAGGCTGTAGTTCTATATAATTTGGTCTTGCTTTCTGCCTGTCCTTTGAGAGTCCCCCAGGAGAAAAGTCCACAGAAGCATAGAATGGTTTGGGTTGGAAGAGACCTTGAAGATCATCTAGTTCTGAGTCCTGTGCATGGGCAGGGACACCTCCCACTAGGTCAGGTTGCTCCAAGCCCCATCCAACCTGGCCTAGAACACTTCCAGGGATGGGGCAGCCACAGCTTCCCTGGGCAACCTGGTGTCTCACCACCCTCACAGGAGAGAATTTCTTCCTAATGTCTAATCTAAATCTCCCCTCTTTCATCTGGAAACAGTTTCCCCTTGTCCTCTCACTACAAGCCCTTGTAAAAAGCCCCTCTCCATCTTTCCTGTAGCCCCTTCAGGCACTGGAAGGTGCTATAAGGTCTCCCTGGAGCCTTCTTTTCTCCAGGCTGAACAGCCCCAACTCTCTCAGACTGTCTCCAGAGCAGAGTTGCTCCAGCCCTTGGATCATCTTTGTGGCCCTTCTCTGGACTCACTCCATGTCCTGCCTGTATTGGGGGCTCCAGAACTGTACACAATACTTCAGGTGGGGTTTCACAAGAGCAGAGTAGAGAAAAATTTCCTCCCTTGACCTACTGGTCACACTTGTTTTGAAGCACCTAAGAAGTCTTCTGCAGATGTACTGATGTAACTGTTTGTGGGCTGTGCCTGCTAGCAATTTCTTAGAGCATCAATTATTCCTCCTCAGGTAGTCGTGATGACTTCGTTGTCATTCTGCTGGTGAAGAACATAAATTGACTATTATATAAAAATAATAAAGCAAATTTAGATGCGTGACTTTCACAGGATTCACAGACTATTTAATCTTTTAAGGGGATTATATGGTGTAGTGCTTACAGTCACAAAAGGCTGAACTCCTTAACTCAGGGAGTCCTTTCCAGTTCTCTGTTCTTGTAAATGAAGTTGTAGTGAGTAGGACATAAGGGTAATGGAATCTTGACTTCGCTCATCATCTCTGTGCCGGATGCTTTTTCATACGTAACTTTTGGGCTGGTATTATTTTAATTAAAACTCACCTTGGATTTCATTTATTACAGGTGTCTGGCAACATTAGGAACAGCATTTGAGATGACAGCAATGGAGAAGATTGAGGAGCAGCTTGCTAGTCTGCGCATAGCAAAACGTTCTGTACTGTCCGAGGAACCTGCTTACTTACTGGATATGGACATTTCCAAACAGTCTCAAAGCAGCCGCTTTGTGGCAGTTTCCTGTTCCAATCAGTCAATTAGGGTATATAACAGGGAAACATTAAACTTCCTGCGGGAATACAGGAGCTGTCCTGGGATCCTTAACGGGGTCAGGTTTGCACACGCGTGTGACAGCGTCGTGTTTTCAGCGTGTGGTGACGGGACCGTGAAATGTTGGGATATTTGTTCAGCATCTCAGGAGGATGTGCAGG